AGTGGGTTTGTGCTTTATTTCTATTACGAACGATTACTATTCAACCCCCTTATCTCAAGTTGTTGGTGTATACTTCATTGTTTCTATTACTTTATCCATATTCCAATTCCTTTCCATACATTGAAGAAATGTTTCGAATGTACATCAAACACTGTTGGACAAAGTATTCAAAACTTGACGAGAACACTACTTATTGTGATAAATGTAGTTTAGTTTGCTTCCAATACAGGTTTTTAATAAGGACAATATATTAACAGTCTATTTAATATTACATTTTCCTCAGATATGTAAATTTCAAAATTACCATAGGAGTCGAAAATTGTGTAAAGATTTTTTTTTGTACTAGTAGCCGTACAATACGTCAGTTAAATGTTTCTTTTTAAGTTTACTTATACTCCAGAATATATATATATATATATATATATATATAGATTATATGCCATTCTACTTTTCTCAGTTTAAGGTATATTTTTATGATCTTGTAATTTGTTCAGATTCTGCTCGGTAGCTGTTTATTCGCATATAATTTTGTGGAACGTCATTATTGTCTTTTTACGATTGCGTACTTGGTTTTTCTTATTTGTGCCTATTAATAGACTCATGTTTTACATTCCAAATTAAATTTTATTAGCTAGTTCCTAGATGTAGTCGTAAATATGACTCACCGTCAGTATAATAATTTCATTTCCAAGATATCTGTGAGGGCATAGTTACTATACATATTTTGGTCTTTAACAAGTTTTTTTATTTAAAGGTAATTGAAAGTGTTCATTAATTGTAGATAATAGTGTACACTAAAAATTCTTCTGTTGTTTGGTGTGCCGCCTTTCCAAGATTTGCTGCCATACTTTATTCCAAACTTCCATATTTTTAACTTTCTGTAACAATAAAACACTGAAAATTTTGTTTTCAAACTTCCACAAAATTTATTTTAAATATTATCACTACAGCTGTTTCGGCTGATTGCCTTTCTCAAGTGATCTATTTTGGCTTGGGTTTACAAATTTATAGTCTCTAATGAAATAGGTTGAGGAGGGAGGGGAGAACTGTTTGTCTCAAGTTGGTCATTCAGAATTATATCTGTGTTTTTTAATTTGTTGATTTCCATAGATTCTAACAAAGATAGCTTAAGGCCTTTATTTTGAATGTAAAGAATTTTAAATTTGTCATTAAAAGAATGATTATGATCTAGAAGGTGTCTTTATGATCTTTCAAGAATAGATTTTTCTATTCTTGAAAGCCCTTTTATGTTCTGCTATTCGTTTATCAAAGTTTCTACCAGTTTGACCGATGTAAGTTTTTGGGCAGTCGCCACATTCAAGTTTGTACACACCACTATTTAAGTGTTTTTTATTTTGGCTCTTGTTATTTTTAATATATTTGCCTAGGTTGTTATTTGTTCGGAAAGCTGGTGTTATTCCTTTCTTTTTTATGTGTTTGGCAATTTTTGTTGTTATTTTGCCTGTATATGTAATCGAGCAGAAGGTACTGAGTTTTTTCTCTGGTGGTGGAAATACTAATTTCAGGGCTTTCTTGAGTAGTTTTTGATTTAATATTTTATTAATTGTTTGTTCGTTGTATCCGTTGTTTACTGCTATCTGCTTAATTATATTTAATTCTTTCTCAAAGTTGTATTTTGACGTAGGAATTTCTGTTAATCTATGTAACATACTATGATAAGCTGCCAGTTTATGTTGTGTTGGATGGGATGACGAATTGTGTATAGTCGTGTCAGTATGGGTAGGTTTATGAAATATGGAGAAGTCATGTTTGTTTTGAAGTCTGCTAATTTTTAAATCTAAAAAAATTATGGATTGATTTAGTTCTGTTTCTATTGTAAATTCAATATGACTATGAAGTGAATTAATATATGATAAAAATTGGTCCAGTTGCCTGTTAGTTCCTGTGAAACATATATTAATTCACTTCATAGTCATATTGAATTTACAATAGAAACAGAACTAAATCAATGCATAAATTTTTTAGATTTAAAAATTAGCAGACTTCAAAACAAACATGACTTCTCCATATTTCATAAACCTACCCATACTGACACGACTATACACAATTCGTCATCCCATCCAACACAATATAAACTGGCAGCTTATCATAGTATGTTACATAGATTAACAGAAATTCCTACGTCAAAATACAACTTTGAGAAAGAATTAAATATAATTAAGCAGATAGCAGTAAACAACGGATACAACGAACAAACAATTAATAAAATATTAAATCAAAAACTACACAAGAAAGCCCTGAAATTAGTATTTCCACCACCAGAGAAAAAACTCAGTACCTTCTGCTCGATTACATATACAGGCAAAATAACAACAAAAATTGCCAAACACATAAAAAAGAAAGGAATAACACCAGCTTTCCGAACAAATAACAACCTAGGCAAATATATTAAAAATAACAAGAGCCAAAATAAAAAACACTTAAATAGTGGTGTGTACAAACTTGAATGTGGCGACTGCCCAAAAACTTACATCGGTCAAACTGGTAGAAACTTTGATAAACGAATAGCAGAACATAAAAGGGCTTTCAAGAATAGAAAAATCTATTCTTGAAAGATCATAAAGACACCTTCTAGATCATAATCATTCTTTTAATGACAAATTTAAAATTCTTTACATTCAAAATAAAGGCCTTAAGCTATCTTTGTTAGAATCTATGGAAATCAACAAATTAAAAAACACAGATATAATTCTGAATGACCAACTTGAGACAAACAGTTCTCCCCTCCCTCCTCAACCTATTTCATTAGAGACTATAAATTTGTAAACCCAAGCCAAAATAGATCACTTGAGAAAGGCAATCAGCCGAAACAGCTGTAGTGATAATATTTAAAATAAATTTTGTGGAAGTTTGAAAACAAAATTTTCAGTGTTTTATTGTTACATAAAATGAATTTCCATCAAGTAACGGTCGAATCCATCAATTTTTTAACTTTCTCGTGCTATCTATTTCGTTGATGTTGTTATTATTTTTAGCCTTCTTAGGTATCGTTGCTTTTTATATTTTTGTAACCTATCTTTACAAAACTCTCTTTTTATTATGATGATTCATATTTAGGTACTCTTCTTCTTCTGCTTTTTTCCATTATGAGTTCGGCATTTTCGTCTTCCACAGCACACTATTCCCAGTCATCTTCTCTGGGGTCTCTATCATAGCAGTTCCTCTATATTGTACCTTGTAGCAGGTCTTTCTTCAATATTCTTTTCGGCCACCTGTGCTATGGCATTCTTTGTACATGCCCGTACCACTGCAGGGTTGTTTTCCATTTTTTTTCTGTAATTGAGCATTATACTTCCATTCTGTTCCATATTTGCTTGTTTGTTTTACCCGTGCTATTTTCATTTCTATATTTTTCATATAGTTACTATCTCGGCCTGTCATTGATCCTAAATACTTAAAAGTCTTACAACTCTTATTAGTTCCTTCTTCTAAACTTAAGTTCAAATCTACAAACTGGGATCCAATACATAAGTATTCGGTCTTACACATATTTATTTTGAGTCCCCCTAGCTCATATTTTTCCTTTAATTTTCATATCATATATTCCAAATCCTCCCTGTCTTGTGAAAAAATGACTTCTTCTTCTTGATGTGCCTATCCGTTACGAATGTTGGCGATCATTATGGCAATCTTTATCTTATCTGCAGCAGCGCGGATAAGCTTCACAGATGTTGTATTGAACCAGATTCTGAGGTTCTTTAACCAAGATGTTCTTCTTCCTGGACCTCGTTTTCCAAATATTTTTCCTTGTAGGATGGCTTTAAGGAGAGCATATCTGGATTGATTTCGCATATGTACGAAGAACTGTAACTTTCGAGATTTGATTGTGGTCAGTACCTCTCGGTTCTTATTCATTCTTCTGAGGACCTCCTCATTTGTGACTCGGTCAGTCCACGGGATCTTAAGCATTCTCCGATATAGCCACATCTAATGCTTCCTAATGCTTCTAATCAAATGCTTCCAGTTTTCTGCACATATCTTCGTTCAAGGTCCACGATTCAACACCATAAAAAAGGACCGAGAAGACGTAGCATCGCAGCATTCTTACTTTTGTATCAAGAGAGAGGTTGTGACTCTTGAAGAAGACACCCATTCGATTGAAGGTGGATCTAGCTTTTCCGATTCGTGCTCTAATCCTCTGATTGTTGGTCCATTCTTCATTTATTACGGTGCCAAGGTAGTTTTAGTGCGTCACTCTTTCTACAGGGGATTGGTGGACGTAGAGTTGACCTTCTGTTATCCTTTTCTTGCTAATTATCATAAGCTTTGTCTTCTTAACGTTATATTGAGTCCATATTTTTGACTGTAATATGATTTTGTTCATAAGAACTTGTAGGTCTTCTAAGTTGCCCGCAAATACTATTGTGTCATCTGCATATATGATGTTTAGCCGGTGACCATTTAGTAGAATACCTTTTTCAGTTTCGTGCAAAGCTTCGATAAATATTCCTTCAGAGTACAGATTGAAGATTAGAGCAGACAAAAAATGACTTAGTCATCTGCGAAAAGTAGTGAAGAGTCATAATATCAACGTTTTGACTATATACAGATTTGGGATCTTTCTGTGGGGTGCTGCGTGTTTGAAAACATTGTAGGATACGAGTGGTATAACATTTTATAATTTTACCACTCCACTTGTTAAAAATACGAGGTTTTCAGATGGCAATCTTAACAAAGAATTTTAAAATTTTACAAGTTCTTATTTTAATATTTTTTGTTTTTTTTTGATATCTTATTATAAAACGCAATTAAAAAAGTGTCCGTTGAACTGCGAAACCTGGTTTGAAAACCACCACCGGCAATCGAAAAGTGAAACATTCTGTGCAGTATTTTTTACACCACACCTCAAAGGTTTTCTCAACTTCTCAAATTTCCTAATTTCACTTAACAGTAACAGAACTTTTTGAGTTTGGTTTGCATCTATCTGTTTGTCTGTATAAATTGTATATAAACCCTAGAAATTTTTATTGAATTTGCAGCCATTGGTGGCGCTGGTCCTCCACCATCAAGTGGACCCTCATTTACTCCCCAACCTCCGCCGCAGGCTAATCCCCCAATGCCGACTACTCAGCCTTATGGTGGTAAGTATTTTTACAGGTTAAAGAGAATATACAAAAAGGGTTTCAACAGATGCGGTTGTTTCGAGATCGACGTAATGATCCGAGAGCCGGTGATCAAAAAATGTAGCACAGTTCTAAAATATGATTTTTAGATGGCGCTAATGGCATTGTTATCGAATATTTCTATAATAAAAAAAGTATTAAACATTTATCATCTATGTCGTAAATAAAACTGTTGATTGTTTAGTTTATGCACAGATGTTTGACGATTAACAAACTAGTACTAAATATTATATAGTATAATAAATTTTGAGAGGATATATTATTAAATTTAATTGTAATATTTACTTCAAATTATACTAATCTTCTATACTTATAGTAATATAAACATAGACGTCACTCAAGGTTAACGCATGTGTCAAATGGAAGTTCTCAATTAAGACTGCTTTACATCTCATAAGAAAACTTGAGATGCAATTTCTTACATGACTAACTTTCATGCAAGCATATTGCAAGTTCTTTATGTACAGCTTGCAACTAACTTAAAAGTTTTGCAAAAAACTTTTTGTTTTTTCTTCAATTACTTATTGCTATTTACTTAATACATCTAGTAAGCCAAGACTATTAAAAATGGCCAAATATAAAAAGGCAGTAGCAGCAACCTTAAGTATTATGCTGCAGCCAGCCTTTTAGTTACTAATTTAGAACGCCGAGAACGGAGATGATGGATAAGACCTCGGTTGAACAAGAAGAGGGGTAATATATTTCTAACAGAAGAATTTATTCAAGTAGATGATGAAAAGATTCTAATTTTCTACGCATGAATGAAGGTAGGTACATTTAATAAACTCTTGGGAAAAATTGAACACTTAATCACAAAGAGTTCTATACTCGTATTTTGAGATACACGAAATAAGAGATCGGCTAAACACAAACTGATTATTGCCCTAAGGTACTTAGCTACCTTAGGGCAAAATAGAACGGGGGGTTAGACAAGGAGACCCAATGTCACCTAAACTCTTTAATACGGTGCTAGAATATGCTTTTAAGAATTTGGATTGGATGACAAAGGGAATAAAAATAGATGGAGAATATCTAAACAACTTACGTTTCGCCGATGATATACTTATAATAGCCGAAGATCTAGGTATGGCAAGAGAGATGGTACAGGAACTCGTTGTGGCTACAGAAAATGTAGGTTTAAATATAAATATCTCGAAAACAAAAATCATGACCAATTTGGTGCCCAACCAGAACATCAGTATTGGTGGGAAAGAAATAGAACTCGTAGATAGATATAAATACCTGGGACATGAAATTATGATTGGCAGAGATAACCAGACTCATGAACTGAAGAGAAGAGTCGGTCTTGAGTGGGCAGCATTTGGAAAACTAAGAGAAACTTTTAAAAGTGGGCTGCCCACATGCCTAAAGAGAAAGGTATTTGATCAGTGCGTCCTCCCAGTCTTGACGTACGGAGCAGAAACACTTACCTTAACAAAAGCAGCAGCTACCAAACTGAGAGTCACGCAGAGAAGAATGGAGCGGTCCATGTTAGGAATAACTCTCCGAGACAGAATAACAAACGAAGACATCAGGAGAAGAACGGGAGTGACTGACATCATCGAGAAGATAGCCAGACTAAAATGGAGATGGGCAGGACGCATAGCCAGAATGACAGATGGGCGATGGACAAAGAGGTTATTGGAATGGAGGCCAAGGGAACACAAGAGAAGCGTCGGCCGACCACCTACAGGATGGACTGACGATTTAAGAAGACTCAATAAAAACTGGATAAGAGCGGCGCAAGATAGACGGGGTTGGAAACCTGAGGAAGAGGCTTATGTTCAGCAGTGGACTCTTAAGGCTGGATGATGATGATAACTTAGCTACCTATAGACTTGAATGAAAACTTGCAGAGAAGATGGTACCAAGACCAAACCGATTATCGCACAATTGCAAGAAGTTGCAGGAATCAGCTGACGGCATACTGCGCATGTCTTTAGGCAACTTTCTTGCGTATTGCAAGCTGTAAAACGGACTTTCAAGGATCAACTTAGGCTTATCCTCCAATTTTGCTAGTGAGCAGCTCCCCGAGATAATTAAAAAAAAAAACACTTAGCTTATCTAAAAATTGCAGTAAAATAATTTTCGACTTCATGGTGGTATAACCTTCCATATATCAGTTGGTATATATAGTGGAATTACCAGAGTTATCATCCGTAGGTCGATTGTTCAAGTCCGGTTCGAAGAATTTTTTTATATTTTTCTCTCATAATATATTAAGAACTTCTTCTTTTTCTCTTTAAGCAACTAATAAAAAACTGTAGAAACCACAGAAAACCTCAGGTTTAAGCTCATCAATCCGGTTGGGATTCTTTAGTCCAATAAATTTTGAATGGTATTGGTATCAACAATAAAAAATACAGGTAACAATAGTTAATGTAATGTGAAATTTAAAAACACCTTATTATAAATACAATTTAAAACTAATTCAGAGTAAGGCAAATTTCTTCGTCTTACTCTTTGAGACCCCTCGAAAACATGCTTTTAAGATAATAACTGTATAAGAGAAAGCAAGAGGTATAAATTAATCTCTAAAAGTAAAATGTCACGATCAACGAAAATACCTATTTCAGTACTCTGTTGATTAGAAAAAGGCATTTGACTTAGTAAAACTGCTAATAATAAACTACGAAAATCAAACGATACAACGGAGTATTGAAAAATCAAACATAATATTCTTGAACTCCAAACCGAAATTTCACGACTATACATTCTTTATCGGGAGTAATCTAATAATACAGTAAAACCTTGATATAAAGGACTACTTGGGGGGACGGGTGGCCGTTAAAGTTATATACAGTACGTGATCAAATTATTAGAGCTACCACATAAAAATTTACTTTTTGTTTAATAATGCTTTGAAATTGAGCTATAAAACATATTTTTTGTGCTTAATTCTATTTTACTGTGTTTTAGAATCTTATAAAGTAAACAAATATTAAAAAAGAAACAAGTAATTACACGAAAACACTTAAAATGCCTTAAGCCTAATATTTGCTAGTGTCACCCTCTGCAACAGTGACTGCCTGGCACGCTCTTGACATACTTTCTATGCATTTTTGTTTGCAATACTCGTTAAGTACTGGTCCTGTAGCATTGTCTTTCGACAATGTAGAGTCTAACAGTTTCTTGACTGCTTTTGATAGACCACACCATAATTCTCAGGGGGTGCTTTACTGTCCTTGCAATACAATCCGCTTTACATTAACCTTAAACCCTGGATAAATCGAACAGCAATTAAACAAATTAATCACAAACGACATCTAAATTTGATCTGGCGACATCTGGCGAAAATTTAAACACCGGTCTTCTTAGTGATTTCCAAAGCCACCGCAGATTTTCAAATAACTTAAAAACATCTCTAAAAATCCTAAGACAACATTTTGAAGCAAACGTTATTGAAAGTGGTAACATTAAAAAAGTCTATAAATACATACGTTCCTCCATGACATCTAAAGTTTCCATTCCGCTACTTACGCAAAAACCCAACCAGACTTTATGCTCTTCTGACAAAGAATCTTCCGAAACTCTCTCTTTAGCATTTTCACAGGTTTTTACTAAAGAATTAAATGATGGTTATCTACCTGCTATTAACTGTAATCGTGTCGGCGCATCCTTACAGCAAGTTGAATTCATAGTGGATCAAGTCAAACAACACTTAATTAAACTTCGCACGGCAGCTTCACCTGGTTTAGATGGTTGAACACCAAAACTGTTAAAAAGGTGCGCAGACACGCTTGCAATACCCTTAACGTTAATTATGCAAACTTCTTTCTTCCAGAACTCCTTATCCCCTAGTTGGAAATTAGCTTCCATTACCCCTATTTCTAAAAAAGGCAACAAACTCGACACCAACAATTATCGTCCGATTAGCTTGCTGCCAGTAGTTGCCAAAGTTATGGAAGCCATTATTTCCGAGGAGATGACCAAATTCCTTCTCCACGAACATGTTATTCCAACTTAACAACATGGATTTGTCTCTGGTCGCTCTACTCTAACCAATCTCCTACATTGTGTTAACGACTGGACGTCATCCATTAACAGTTCGCAGCCGGTCGACGTTGTTTATCTAGATTTTTCTAAAGCCTTTGACCGTGTACCTAAGCGCAGACTTCTACATAAGCTAGAACATTTCGGAGTTCGCGGTACTTTACTTCGTTGAATAGATGGTTTCCTGACAGACCGATATTACAAAGTTAGAGTTGGCGAATCTTTCTCACAGACAGGTTAGTGGAAAGTGGAGTGCCTCAGGGTTCTGTCCTTAGACCTCTGCTTTTTACGGTTTACACCAGCGATATTCCTTATTATGTCTCAAGTAAAATATCGTTTTACGCTGACGACACAAAAATATATGCCAATCCAAACACAAACCAGCTAACCCTCCAAATGGACTTGGACTCTATTTTAACTTGGTGTTCCCAGTGGTTACTACCCTTAAACGCGGAAAAATGTGTAGTGCTTCGAATTGGCAAAAATAACCCACTTGTGCCGTACTTTGTTAACGGGCAGCCATTAGAATCTGTGTTTTCGTATAACGATCATGGTGTTATCGTGAACAGCAGCCTAACTTGGTCCGACCATATTACCTCTATTTGTAAACGTGCAAACTCCAGATTGTATCTTATTCGGAGGTGTTTTTCGAGAGTTTCAATGCAATCATTTTGTAAACTTTACACTCTGTACGTAAGACCCATATTTGAATACGCTAGACCAACGTGGTATCCTAATCTGGTTCGAGACAAGACTTTGTTGGAAAACGTTCAAAGAAAAGCCACTCGAATTTCTTTGGGACCGAGAAGACCGTCTTATGCAGAAAGACTTAGTATTGCTAACCTAACTACTTTTGAACTTCGCCGACAACGTGGAGACTTAATTACAACATTTAAAATACTAAAATTCAATTTTGGAAACCTCGATGAAATATTTATCATAAATCAAGATGAACACCTCAGAGG